ATGCCCATGATGCTCACAGCGATGCTCGTGTGAGTGGGGCCGTGGATGTCCGCAACACTCACAGCGATGCACACATGCACGCACTGGCCAGCCACTCATGTGGCCCCATGGCCAATAGGCCATAGTAAATAGGCCGTGTCCCAATGAGCCATGGTAATAGGCCACTGCCCACAGGTTGCAGACCCCGGCATTAGGACATCTAGAACCCTCTCACAGTTACTACTTTTGAGCCAAGTATCTATTCTATACCTGTGCATTTGGTTTTCCTTGCCTGTATAGGATCTTACTTTTCTCCCCAGTGACCCCTAGATCATTAATGAAAATTTTGAAGAGCACTGGGCAGACTGAATTTTGATGTAGCCTACTGCATGTTTTATCCATGTAGATCAGTGGTTCTCAACCTTTTTATACCGGCGACCCCGGTCATAAGGACGCGGCGCGCATGCACGGGGCCGCCCCATGCGCGGTGCACATGCGTGGTGCCGCCAGTTGAGGAAAAAATGGCAGATTGCGTTGTTTGGCGACCCCCGTGAAATGGTCGTTCGACCCCAAATGGGGTCGCGACCCACAGGTTGAGAACCGCTGATGTAGATGTAGTTGCATTAAGGATAACGTGCTAAATGAAGTTGGTCAGCCAACTGCAAATCCATCTGATGGTGCTACCATCTATCCCACACTGTTTTGTCTTACCAAGATGTAAGTTGTGGTCTACTTTTTCAAATGCCTCACTGAAATCTAAATAAACTATGTCCATAGCATTTCCTTTATCCACTTAGTCATTTTATCAAAGAAGGCAATAAGGTTTGTCTGGCATGATCTGTTTTTGATAAACCTATGCTGGCTTCTATTAACTGCCTTGTTTGTTTCTAGGTGCTCACAACTGTGCTGCTTGATCATCTTTTTCTCAGTTGTTGATGTCTGCATGTTGGTCTGTAGTTTCCACGATCTACTTTGGGGTCCTTGATGCTCTCTGAGCTTGGTGGTTTTGTTGCATTTCATACCAAACAAATTTCATTATCAAACTACTACCAAGTTCAAAGAGCACCAGGGACCACACAGTTCAACCCCGTTACATTCTCTTTTATTGGTGGATCCATTTCCCTCCCCACACCACCATTTTGTGTAGATTTGAACCACACCAGTTCTTTTCCAGTCTTCTGGTATTTCCTGGTACTCCAGGAGCTTTGAAAGATTTTGTTCATTGGTTCTGAGATCATATTTGCCAGCTCTTTCAGAACCCTGGAATGTAATCCATCTGGTCCTGGCAATTGTCTAGAGCAGTGGTTCTCAACCTGTGGGTCAGGACCCCATTTGGGGTCGAACGACCATTTCATGGGGGTCGCCAAACAAGGCTGTCCGCCATTTTTCCCCCTTTTCTTTGGCCACGCCCCTGGCACCCGGTGATGTATAAATGGTTGGAGGTCACCACAACATGGGGAACTGTATTATGGGGTCGCGGCATTAGAAAGATTGAGAACCACTGGTCTAGAGTGAATAGATGTTCTCTTACCATTTCCTTGCCTATTTTGATTTGCATTCCTGTTCTTCTCCTACAGTGCTGCTTTTGATAGGTTGGACATTTTTTGTGTCAAGACAGATGCATAGAATAAATTAAGTGATTCTTTTTTCTCTCCACTACCCATCACTTCCTTGCCATCTTCTCCCTTTAGTGGACCAATCATTTCCTTGACTTTTTTTTCTTGTTTATTACATGTTGAAAGAAATGTTTTAAATTATTTTTGGCATTTGTTGCAAGTCTTAGTTCATTCTGAGCTTTAGCTTTCATGACTTTATCCTTGCAGATTCAGGCTATTTGCTGGTATTCTGCTTTAGTTATGTCTTTTCATTTTTTATACTTGGCCTTTTTTTCTCTCAGTTTGTCGAGAGAGTTCTTTATGCAACTCCACTGGATTCCTCTGGGGTCTCTTGTCTCAAAGGTGCTTTTTTTCTTCAAAGGGCAACTGGACTGTTTTTTCCTGAAGAAGAAAAAAATGTTTAACTTCTCATCCAACAAGTTCTGATGGCAGGGGAATGGAAGGATAGGGTGCAATCGGTTGTGGAATCTTCTTGGAACTGCTGCAAGAGCTCCATTGTAAACTGGAGATAGCTGGTGTCATATTCCTCCCCCTCTGTTGAGGGAGGGGTGTTAAATTCTAACATAGATGGATTCTTTTATCCCTCTTTCAAACCAATGGTCCTCTCTATCCAAAATTTCATCCTGATATAGGTGACCTTGAGGGCACAGATAAACCCCCAAGTGGCCTCAACAGCTCTCAGACATCAGGGAATCAAGATGTCATCTGAATTTTCTATTTCTTCTTTGTAATTCCAGATACATTAGAGACCATGGCATGGAATAAAATCCAGAATTTTTACACTTCCTAAGGATAACAAAAACATTTAATTATTGGCATGTATATCGAATTTACCATTAATGTGACATAACATAGTCTTTTATGTTAGTTAATGATGTAGCTGCTTTCTCCCCCCCCTCCTCTGAGCCTCATCTCTGCCAATAGAATAATGGAATAAAAGGAAATAAAAATGAAAAAGCTGTCCTAAACCGTGACAGATCTCTCTAATTCTAAAGGAGCTGTGCTGAATAGCTTGCCATTAGAAGAAACATAACATTGTGGAGACCAGAAAAGGAGAAAGGTAATCTTTTCTACTATTGGAAATTTAAAAACACAGTAACAAACAGCTGGACAAGAAAACAGCCAAAACAATACAACGGAGACTCCACAAACTCAGAAGCTGCAGTCTTAAGGGCTTTCTGGCAGCACAGGAGAGTGGGTGCCATACATATCTTGGGAGACGATGCTACTCCAAGTATATCCAACATCTTCCAACTTCAAGTGATAATTCCAATCTAAGTAACTGTTTCTTACCCACAGTATGGTACTAGGTTTGAGCTAGAGAATAATACTTATTAAAGTATGAAGGTATAACACAGGCACCAAGAAAAGTGGCAAAGGTAAAGGAAATGTTTGGCATCTAATGTTTTCACAAACATACTATAATTGTAAATCCAATTCTGTCTATTACTCCTATTCTTAGTGCCCTCTGGTTTTACTGTTGGTTGTAGGTATGGAAGGTGCTCTTGACCCTGTATGCTAGAACAGGGGTTTCCAACCTTTCTGGGCTGGCAGAGGGAGGGGCAGGCGCCTTATGCATGCACGTGTAAACATGAATGTGGCCACACGTGCACACAAATAGGCCACGAGTGTGCGCACCACACAAAAGGGGCTGCCAGCATGCACGCAAGGCTCTCAGTGATGCTGGCGCTGCCAGGCTTGCGGTGAAACCACCGGCACAAGGATCGCATCGCCGCCCCCATGCAAGATTTGCGCCCCACCCACCTGCTACTCGTGGTGCTGCCACCACCCATGCAGTTTGTGGCAACACCACCACCCGTGCAATATTAGCGGCAATAGTGGCATGAGGGTAAGCATGCGCACACACGTGCGTGCACAGCTACTCAGGCAGCCTGGTGGCCAAGAGGTCCTGGCCTGGTAGTGGGCCGCAGCCCTTGAGGACCTGTGTGCTAGAAATTGATTGTGTGCAAAATCAACCAATCAACCCACCAATCAACGATGTCAAGACTATGATGAGCTAAAAGGGCAGTCATCCCTTCATGCAGCTATGTTGGGAACATTAGGAAATGGCCTTGACCTTCTTTGGAGAAGCTCCTTTCCAAGTAGACAGCAGGGCTACCTCATCAGCAAAAATTAGCTAGGCCCAGTCAATCTTATCTCTCACTGACTATACAGACATATCCTTGCAACTTTCTTATCAATGCCATATTTTCTGTTTTCTTCCAGGATGTTTCTCAAAAACATAGTTGCAGACCTGAGATCTCATGGTGGTCTCCTATCTAAAGCTATTCAGGCTTTTGCTTTTCCAAGGTCGCTAAGGTCAGCGAATGCCTTTATCTCTTAAAATCAGCCAGGATTCTTGCCCATGAAATCCCAAAGGTGCTTTTTCATGAGGCAACTGGATTTTCTTGTATTTTCTTTGAAGATGTTTTGCTTCTCATCCTCCTTGTAGACAGCTGATCATTTGCATTCTTTTAGAGTCCTTGATGCCACTTGGAGGTTTATCTGTGTCATCAGGGTCACCTGAGCAGTGCAAATGGGTATGGAGCCTTTTTTGGAACTGGTGAAAGGGCTGTGTTGTAGACCAGAGATAGATGATGTTGGATCCCTCTCCCTCAGTTGAGAGCGGGCTGTTCAGTTTTGACCTAGATGGCCTCTTGGACCCCTCTTTCAAACCAGCGGTCCTCTCTGTCCAAAATGTGGACTTTGCTGTCATGGAAAGAGTGGCCTTTGTCTTTTAAATGCAGAGGGACTGCTGAAACTTCTTGGATGAGAAGCGAAACATCTTCAAAGAAAAACAAGAAAGTCCAGTTGCCCGGTAAAAAGCATCTTTGGGATAACTATGACCTGAATGACTGAGAATCTCCATAGACATCTTGCCCCTGAAGGTTTGCCTTCGGTTATTGGGTTTTCTACAGGTCAGGGATCTCCACACGGTCTCCTGCCCAAGTGCTACCACAGGGCCGGATCTGCTTAATTTAAATTTCCTTGAGAGCAGTCCAGCCTTTCCGACTGGAAAGGGCCAGGTGGTACTCCGGTGATCTGCTCAGGGCTGCCGTCTCCCGCGCGTCCCAGCCTTCCCGGTTCAGCCGCGTTCCTCTCGCCGGCTCCTCCATCGACAGGCGGGGAACAGCGGGCGGGGGGGGGGGAAGCGCCGGTCGCCTGGGCCCAGAGGAGGTGGGGGCGAAGGCGGGGAATGGGGAGGGAAAAGCCGGCGTCGGGCTGGCAGAGATGGTTGCTTGCCGCTTGGAAGAAGCGGAGAAGAGGGGGCAGCTCGTGAGGCTGGCTGGGAGAGGCGAGGGTGAGTGGGCGCCCTCTCCGCGGGGACCCGCAGGGTCACACAAGAAGCACCCCAAGGGCGGGCAACAAGGAGGGCAGGGCAGGGCAGAGGCCGCGGGAGGGGAAGCAGGGCGGGCAGCCGGAACCGGCGTCGGGGACGAAGCCCGAGCAGCAAAAGGACCGCGCTCCGCCACAAGGATGCTGCGGAGGAGGATTCCCCGGAGGAGGGTTGGGAATCGTCCCTCCGCCTCCCCTGCGCCGCCTCGCACGGCAGTCCTTGGGGGCGCTGCGGAAGCGGCGAGCAAGCGGGCGCCTGCCAAGCGTCCTCCCCGGCTCGGCGGCTGCGGCTACCGCGCTGTGCCGCCACTTCCCGCCCTTCCCAGTTGGGCTTTGCCGTTGGTTTCCTTGGCGAGGCGGGGGGTCCCCCCGGGAGCCGGGAAGGGCTCCTGCGCTGCTGCCGGCCCTTTGGCGGGAAGTTACTTTCTTGGCGAATTCCCAGCCGGGCGGTGAGGGAGGGGGCATCCCGCTCGCCTCTCCTCTTCATGCCCCTCCTGGCCGAGGCTGGAGCCTCCCTTCGCCCTGGCCGTCTTCGGTTAATGTTGGGTACGTCCCCGGGCTGAGTTCCTGAAGGGGGCAGCGCTTCCACCGCCCCGCGAGACGCGACGCTCCGAAATACTTTTTTTTTTTTTTGAAAACAGGCACTTCACACCCGGTGCGTTTGACCTGCCCCCCCCCCCACGGTGCGCGCGCGCGGGAGGGCACGCGGACCCGGGCACCTGCACTAGCAATGGGCAACTCGTCGGCGTTAAGGGATGTGGCTGGGTTAGCCGAGATGGTTTGACTTCTGATCAAATAGGCCGGGGACATTCCTTGGAAATCAGTGGGACCACCTGGACATGAGATCCGGAGCTAGCAAATCTCTTGTGTGTTCTGCGTTAAAAAAAAAAAAAAAAAGATTGTGGAGATTCCTTTTCCCTGCTGTCCGGCTATCGCGTGACCGGCTGTACCTGGGGATGGTTGCGGGACGCGGCTGTTCGTCTGGGCTGAAATATTTGGGGGATGGTTGGGGCTTGGACAGAATAACACTAACAAACCCCCCATCTGAAATCGGGCCGCGAGACGTCCTGCGTCTTTTTCCTACCAGAAAGGCATGGATTCCCCATATCCTTTGAAAGGCCATGCAAGTTTAGTTTAAAGAAGCCAGAGATTAACCTCTGATGGAGCAGACTTCTAAGATTGAAGCCTGTAGACAGGTCAGGATCACCTTTGGGAAAGGGCTTTTCCCAAAAGCCCAATCGAGATTGTTGAGTAGGTTTTCTAAATATATGTATATATATATACATATATTTCTAAGGATCTGCATATCAGAGCTGCAAGACTCAGATGAATCTTCTAGGTAATGTACAATTTTAATAATTTACAATTGTGTAGGAGGCCTATTATGGATTCTGGAAGGACGATATAGGTGATCAGTATTTTGGAGAATGTTGTACCTATAGGACTTGTATACGGATGCACTTTTTTCAATGCTTCAGCCTTCTTACTAAGTGTAGTGCCATATACTATTAGGCATAGTAAAATTACAGCATACCCTAATGCTGCACCATAATTTAGCCATAGAGCTAAAAGATAAACCATTACTTCCAAGTTGTTGGAATGTCTATCTTTCCTGCTGGGTGTTTTGAAAAATGAAAATGAACCTTAAAATCTCCTTCTCTAGAGAGGATCTGGATGGATGTACAGGTTAATGCATCGGATAGTTATATGCATGGGCTCTTTCTCTGAAATTTGTAAGAAGTTCAGTATCTATTGAGAAAGTGCATAAATGTTAACATTTCTGTTTATAGTGTCATTGAGAGATATTCTCAAAATGTTGCTACAGCTATTCTAAGGTAGCTTTTTATTTTTTAAGAGTTCATAACTATGAAGGGAGCCTCATTTTTTATTTTTATAGATGAAGTCTTTCTGTTCATGGGAGGTTTTACTGCACTAATGTCACCTTTATCTATCTCTATTCAGAAGGAATAGACCCCACTGAAGTTCATTGGGTCTTATTTCGAGTAATAATACCTAAAATTGCAGCCACCTTAGTTAAAACCTTTTACTTAATTAGCCCCAATAAATTTAGCAGAATTTAAATTCTAAATGGACCTAGAGAACTGCATTGTAAACACCTATTTGTTAAATAGGTGAAGAAGCATATTGTATATTTTCTACAAGGGCTGTGGCTCTCAGTTCTCCAGTGAATAATCAGAATAGAAAACTATACCCATAATAAAAATAGCTGCATAACTCATAGAATAACTTTTTATTCAATATATATTTCAATTTGAGCACAGTGCTATAGTACTCACTTGCATTATTTAATGTACTTTGGCTTGATCATGTCAGGCAATCTCTCACAGAGGAAACAACAGCAGTTATTAAGGGAAGTTATTAGAAACTTTATAATAAATAATTATAATAAATAAAATTCATCATTATTAATGCCTGACTTGTAGATGGTGAATTTTCAGGGCCAGACTCACATCTTTAAAAAAAAATAAAGAACATGTAAAATTGGCTTCTAACAATATTTTACTTTTGCCAAATCATATTTTGATATTATGTAATAGAAGGCCAAATTGATATAGGAGATCGTTTTAATGTTATCATTTTTGCTTAAATATTTCTATATATCTGCCAGACAGGAAGATTAGATACTAGCCATACATTATAAACTACAATCTGTAGGTCAAAAAGTTGAAATAATAGATTCTCAAAATCTGAAAACAATTTATAAAATTGATTCTTATATTAATTGGACCTGTTTGAATGCTTCTGCATTTCTATTAAAGTACAATTATATTTCAGTACAAAAGAGGGAAGAAGGAAAAACCTGTAAAATCCGTGGCGCTGCCCTTGGCCCCTAAAAACTAGTTAACATCATTAGGTAGATTTAGAACTCTTTTTATAACAAGGAACAGATTCATGGTTGCCTTTTCATTTACATATCAAAAGTAAAATAATGAACTAAATGAAACCTAGAAATAAGACAGCAAGAAGAGATAAATCTCCAGGTGATCAGTCTAGGTCAGTGATTGGCTTCTTTTGATTCACTGCAATGAAAGAAAGGGAGAGAATGGGTAGCCACTTTCAGCTGTGGTTCTCAAAATAATCACTGACCTTAGAATTCTTCAGTTACCCAAGTTGATATCTTTCCCATCTATACTAGGTTGATAGAATTCAAGGGAACAAAATAGATTGCAGAAGCTTGAAGTCTGATGGAATGATTGTGATTATATGATTAAAATTAGGTGCCTTAGTAAGAGAGGAGACTGAGAAATGTAATATATTTTAAAGATTGAAACCTGTGAGGTAGATGTCAGAGTGGCATGTTGAAAGCTTAATTTATTAAAAAAGTATTTTGAATCACCAGCATTTCCAGTGCAGAAGTTCATTTTGTGGCATGTACATTAATTTTGTTGGGAATTCAAGGCACAGATCAGTATTTGCTTTTGATTCCCCCTCATTAAGAAAGTATATTATACATTGAAAGAAACCAATATCTACTCATTCTTATTAGACATAAGAATATTGATATTACGTAGTAATACTGTTGTGTCTAATATAAAAATCTCATGCCCCAGAACTTTTCCTTTAAGCAGCTCAATTATAAAGCCAGAGAGAGTGGCTGCTGGCTATTTATTTATTCCTACTATCTTATGTTCATCTTCTTGAAATCTCCGTTGCATATGGATCGAACATCTGGTGTCCCATGTTGGCTTCTTCACCAGGGTGCAGAATTTTATACTCCTAATTTCTTATGCTTATTTTTTTTTAAAAAAAGCATTAACATATAATTAAATTATTTTAATGAAATCAGACTTTTTAATGAGATTTTTTATAAATTGTAGAAAAGTTTGGGGCTACACCAACAAACAGGTACACATTCAATTCATTTCTTCCTTTTCATTCTTGTAAGAGCTGTATTGTAGATAATTTCTGGGGGATAAATTCACACAATATATATTAAAATATTACTGTTTGTCAAATACTGAATTACTTGTGTAATCTTATATCTGTAGTATTATGCTGTTATACATAGAGAATTAATGAATGGAGGCAAATATACATGTCCCAGGATGAAGTGTCAGGATCCAATTTCGGTCGGTCACCATTCTGGTGAGAGAGAAGTTCCCTGAGGATAGACTCCAGAACAAGTCCAAAAGTTCGAAAGATTAAACCTCTAATCCCAGTGACTGACTCAGACTGGATCCTGCAATAGAGAATTAAAGCTGTGAAACAAAGACTATTCTCAAAATAGAGAGGCATAATGTGTACCTGATTTCAATTTTAAAATTGTTATGCATTAATTTTAAATTTTACTCTATTGGAAAGAACTATTAATGATTTAAAAATATAATTAGATCAAGTTAGTTGTATCTTTTTCTGTGAAGTTTGCTGTTTACCTGATTAAATCTTCACACAGTAATATGATGACTCCTCAAAAGCTAGTTTGTAGGGATCAGGAAGATTTATCTAAGATAAACATGTAAAAAAAGTAGAGCTTAAAAACAAAATCCTATATTACTGTTGATATTAGCTTATTAAAGAAAGCATGGATATTTTTGTTATCTTTGATTCATGGCTGAGCTTTTGTGGTTTAGAACTTACAGTCAAATACCATAACCCCAAATTATTTTGTTTTCCTTTCACTACTATAGATTTTCAACACTGTCCTGTGGAATTCATGAATAAAAAATAGGATCAGTTCTTATCACAAGTATGCTAGGACATTATCTATGCTATCAATGCCATATAAGAATTATTTAGTAGATATGTAATTCATAGGAAACAATCGAAGACTGATTGATATTTTAATTACATAAGTGTGCATAGTAAGGAAAGGGACCATTTTTTCAAAATTGATCTTGAGCTGTAGCAAATAAGCAAAAATGTTTAGTTCAGTCAAAGGGAGATATTTACTCTGTCATAATCTGGTAATTTTTTAGAATGACCCTTCAAAAACAGGTAAAACTTAGTTTGAAGTCAATAAATAGATAACAAGTAGTACTTGGTAAGAGATCTAAGAAATTTATTTCAAGCCTTAGTTTTTCCTATAAAGAGGCACTTGTTTTTTTTTATCCCATTAAGAAGTATCCTACCATATCAAGCCTATGGCATGATATTTTGTCCACACAATTTTACATATGAACTTAGTCTTAGGGCTTTGCTATTTTTAAAATTATAAGATGAATTTCCATCCTAAAACCAAAATATGTTAGACAAAGGATTTGGCAAATAACAACATAAAATGACTGGTGTTCATTTCAAATGTGAAATTTCTGGGAGAGCTAAAAAGTCTCATGAAGGTAAACCAAAAATGGACACTTGGTAAAGTATGGAGAAATAGGAAATGGGGCAATTGTTGGAAATGTGGTTTGTGGGTGCTCTTGGAGTTATTTCCAGAGATATCAGAACTATGAAGAAAACTGAAAAAAGTAAAAAGTTATAGTACCAAAGAAAGGTGGGTTTTTCAAAAGATTGGCAAGAAGAAAGTTTGGAGGAAGGGAGAACCTCCTTCCATGCTCCCAATTTAGAGAATTCAACCACACCTACTGACACTGAGAGAAAGAATAATATATTCAAAACTGCAGACACTGGTGATAAAATTGTGACACAACTAAGCAGCCAAAGAAAGGCTTCCTACAAAAGTGATATTTTTGCCTT